ACAGAATATAGTAATCGAAATTTAATTAAAAAAAAAAAAAAAGGCAAAACTGTGTGTAGAAAATCTTGGAAATGAAAGTTTGAAATGACTTTTGCTGACAAAGTCAATTAGCATTAGCATTTGCTCATAATTAATAGCCGACAAACACAATTAAGAAAATTAATGGAGGATTTTTATCGTAAGAGATATTCATGATTTTTTTTTTCCAACTAGATACATGCTTTTACGTCATTAGATCATTATTTCTTTTGCACACTCCGCCACTCTAAGATAAACATAGAAGTTAAAGGAAAATACTATTAACATTAAGTTCATGAAAACAAATGTATCAAAGAAGAAATATATATTTATTGACTAAAGATCACACTTAAGATTTATCTGAGAGGAAGTTTATTTATACACAAGGCACACATTAATCAAGTATCACATGAAACACTTCACTGTTTAAATATTACCATAAAATCATCTACACACAAATCACAACACGACTTTAGATTGTTGGGAAAAATTGAGTGATTTGTGTGTAGATTTATTTAACAATTAACACAATAAAATAACAAATACAATTCAAGAATAATATAACATAAAATAAAGAAGAGATTTAGAAACCAAGCATTGGGAATCACATCGAGAACGCTGTCCTAAAATCGTGTTGCCTCCCCTTCGTGCGAGTTCTTTCGGTACTATACGGCTCCAAGATAAAACCCATGTGACTTTCCTTCTATGGACACGATCATAGGGAGATAAGTGAGCGAGCCTCTTGTTGAATTGCCAAAATAGTATGAATATAGAATAAAATTGTAGAGAAAACAATACTTCAACTTGTTATCTCAAATTATAGAAATGACTCCTTTTTATAGTGTAGACTTTAACCCCCACAACAATGAGAATTATCCCAATTAAAATATAAGTTATATTGTCCTTTAATTTTATATTAAAGTTAAAATTAAACGATTTTAATTTAAAAGTTGAAACTTGCCGCAAATTATAATATATATGCTATACTTTATTAAGCCCTTGTTTGAGCTAAAT